CTATGCTCATTGCTCCTAATTGATCATCACTGGAACATTAGCTTAATATACATGTATGTATTGTTGTTTCATTTGCTAGATATATTCAGATTCAGAACTTCAGAATCACCATCCTGAAGCGTGAGATTTTCACTGTATCATGTGACCTCAGTGGGATTCAAACCTACAACCTTAGTGCAAGTAGTTTAGTGCATCTACATCAGAGCCACAAAGGACCACTGCAATGATTACAGTATGTACAGTACAATACTGTAAAATGCACTACATGATTACCATCCATAATTACATCGCTAATTTCACGTGGTGGTAAACTCAACTGGCAACCATATACAGTAAAAGGGGGTGTGAACACTAGCAGTTCCTTTCAACATGGGGCCGAATAGACAACAAGGCATTGGAATCAGTCAGAGAGCTTGTGGACAGGCCCAGAGTCACATTTGATTAGACAAACCTATATGTTGCAATAGAGTAAAATACAGAATGTTTGGTTCTTGCATCAGTGATTGTAGAGGATGTCTTTATTGATCACAACTTGATTACATGTAGAATAGATATTATGGAAATGAAAGATTCTGTAAGTGTTGGATAGTGTAATAATGTAGTAATGCTGGATAATGTAATGTAATCTTTTACAGTACTGTAGCGTACGACTTTCAGCACTTCTAAGGTGATTTGAAACATGTATCTTGCATTGTTTGTTATTGGATTCACTGATAGTTAAAATTACTAAACTGAAATGATATCATTATTTTGTGTTTTGGTGATTAAACCATATGTTTTCATGACATTTCACGAAAAACTCTGAATGAAAGACTGGCTGTGTTACAAGTGTGACGAGTTTACAGTTTTGTACCAAGAGTTCTGAACTTTTACCACATACTTATAGTACTCACTATGTACACCATGCAGAATTCTCTCTCTCTCTCTCTCTCTCTCTCTCTCTATATATATATATATATAGATATAGATATAGATATAGATATAGATATATTGGATTTTAATTGATGCATTAACATGTAGGTTGCATTTTGATATTGCAGCTGGTTTAATGACTTCATCTAGTGATGAGCATTTTCACCTATCACTTTGCATCATATTTTAAAAGATATATATTGATATGCTTTGTATGGAAAATGTCTATAAATCTATAAACAACTATTGCTTTCATCTAAAGTAAGCAAAGTACAAGATTCTCAAAGTTTTACTTTAGCACAGTAGTAGAGCAAAGGTACTTTGTCCCATTCCTGTTTCCAGTTTTAGTACACATTTATACCGATGTATATTACTCTCAAAAATAAAATAAGCAAGTTAATGCAAATGTTCAAATGCAAACTCCCATAATTTAGTTCAGTCATTATATTATATTATATATTATATTTTTCTTACTTAGCCCTGTTTCAAAGCTGCAGAAAAATCATATAGTGAAACACATGAAAATGGAAATTGGCATTGATCTATATACAAGTCTCCCACTTGCAATCTAGAATCTCTGTCTGAATATGACTTAAAATAAACTGAGTATAAAATTATTTTCTTGCAGTTCGTGTTGGCAAAATAGCTATGTCCATGTAGATCCACTGTGTGTCTTCTATTTCAGGGTCAATTCAAACTCGGTTCAGTTGGTGAACGGAAATTCCAATTCAACAGCGAGCATTTCACATTTCATACCTGGGAGATGAAGCTAAGTGCCACTTTAGATTCACAGACTTCCACTGAAGTTAATGCTCTGATAGATAGATAGATAGATAGATAGATAGATAGATAGATAGATTGATTGATTGATTGATTGATTGATAGATAGATAGATTAACCTTTAAACTTCCACAGGAGAGATACTAATCCAGTCTCTCTCTCCTCTCTCTCTGGCAGTGGGCTGGGGTCGCAGGATTACTTTCTGTCAGCAGTGTGACAGCTGTGTACATCTGGTTGTGTAGGGGCCTCTTACAGCTCAATCCACACGTCGTTTCACCGGTGTCTGGGCCTCCGGACTCGCTGCCACTGCTCACCTCATTACCGACCGAGCCACACCTCCATCTGTCCGCCTAATATCTAAATCCTACTGCAGATTATTGGGGGAGTCAGGGCCCTCAGGAGTGAGGGGGGAGGAGGAGGTTGGAGGCTGGAGGAGAGGGGAAACAAGATCCTGGAGGAAGGGTTTGCGTGCATGGCACATGATGCTGTGTTAATGCTCTCTGGGGTTGTGTGGTGGCGGCTGCTTTTTGGGTTTGCGGATAGTGGTAGCATGTTGGGGGGCTTGTGAGTACTACTGTACTTTGGGCATGTGTGTGCCGAGGCAGACAGGGAGGGATGACAACTGAGATGACGCCATGTGAGCTCATTCTTCCTCCATGATGATCTAAAATGTGAAAAAAAGGCTTTGTTCTAAACTTTCTATTCTTCGCAGTTAGTTGCGATCAGCTGCTTGTTGTCATGCATACTTTTTTGTCCTTAAAGGATATGTCTGGTGATATATGTTTTATAAATAAAAGACAATAAAAGAATGAAAGACAAAAATCAACAATATGTATCAAAATGTTTATGTATCAAAAGCCTGATATATGTTCTTCCTCTGTGCCACAGAGCTCCACTGTTGTCCAGACACCATTAAAAGACACATCAGTGAGCCATGCTGTTGCTCTGTATTTCTTCACTTTCTCCCTACCCCACTAGCACGCCAAATTCACCACTGAAAATAATTCCCAACAAAAACACTATTTACTCCTGCTGCTAAATACTTCAGCTGTTTTAATAAATTAATTAAATATATAAAAGATAATAAAAATATATATTTGCAACCCCCTTTTTACACCTTAAGTGGAACAGATGTGTTTGGGACATAGAGCTACAGACAGAGTAGGAAAGTCAGAAAGTATTGTTGGTTGTTGACTTTAATGGGATTTGTTGACAATAATGTATTGTACTGCTTATTGAATTGTTTATATATGTTATTATATATTGATAATAAATATCAAATATTGCCAGAATTATCCTTGACATGCTGATATGCAAGGCCACATAAACTTTTAACTTATTTAAGTTCTTTACACGTATACAACTTAACCCTGGTCTTGTAAATTTTCTTTTCATGTTTATGGCAGCATCCCTTTGTGGTATTAATCAGAAATCTCTAAGACAAACACTTGCTGTCCTCATCCTCAGCTTTTCTTCATATCTTCACAACAGCTTTTGCTGATGGACATCACTTAATTTTTAATCACGGTTGGATGTGACTCTACAGCATGTGTTCCAGTCGTATGTGTCAATGATTGACTCATTGCTGAAGCATTGAGAGCGCAAATGACCCCAAAGCTGCACAACCTGGTGTGCAGTATCACACACTATACTGCTGAAGGACTTTTTGACTACATAAAGCACTGCTGCAAGACAGTGACATTTGTTTTACTTGCAATACTTTCAGACTTTGTGGTACTTCTTAAGATGAATCAGCCACCTGCTTTAGCAAGCAAACACAAATGAACAAATGTGATAAAAATATAACTTTTCTGCATAGATAAAAAAAAAAGCGTGTGTATATATGTTTGCAACCTCTCTCCTCATATTACATCCTCAGTATTTGAAAGCACACCTATTTTATTTATAATCAATAAATAATCTATTACAGTATTGCATTTTATCTAAATAAAGTATAACAATAATAATAATAAACTTTATTTATTGAGGACTTCTCCAAACAATGTGCAAAGTGCTTCACATAGACACACGGAGAAAGATTAAATGAAATGACACAGTACATGATAAAATACATGAGGGGCAAAATAAAATGAAAAAATTTAAATAAACACTTATCAATTACAAAAAATAAAAACATTAAAAATAAGCAATATGTTTTTTTCGTAATGACTCTTCTAGTGAAATGCAGAATTCATCTGTCATTGAAATCTATTAGAAAGAGAAAACTCATACAAAACAAAAAGCAACAATTTGATAAAAACAATTAGAATGAGTTTGATTATCACATAATTGTCACATAGGATGAATTATCTACACATCGCTATGATCATGGATAATAGTACAAGATCATTTTGGTTACACTTTATAGACTTAGTGTATAAATCAGGGCAAGTGGAAAATAAAGTGGGCAAATAGAACTGTTTTGATAGAGGATGCATGCCTAAACCTATGGGAGTGTTTTTCTTTAAGTGGAGTGTCTGACTTCTTGCACAGTTCTTATCGTTCAGACAGATTTTAAAGTTATCAGCCAATTTCAAGAACATACTGTAACGACAAGTTAGGAATGTGTGTAGGCTACACAGGGTCGAGCTGGGAGATAGACAAAAGAGGCTGTGAGACTATAAACACACACTATGTATAAATGAGCATTATCTCTAACAGTCCTCATCCAAGACAGCAAGAGTATTCTAATATGCTTTACTTGTGATCTACTTGTGCAGGCATTGCACGTTTTCAGGATATTTGGCAACACAGCGCCACCTGGTGATCAAAATAGCAATTCAATTGATCTCAAAAAATGATTTGTATTGCTGTAGGCTACTATATCCATTGTGAGTTCCAATCACTAAGGAACTACAGAAGGCTGGCCCGTAACAGAGCTTAGTCCATACAAATTCATTTCCCAAGTACTTTTTAAAGGTCAAATATTATAGCCTGTTATTTGTTATTTTATTGTATTGCTGTGTTATAAATCTCTCTGCTCTTTTTCAGTGCTATGAGTCTTTGTCTGGACTTTCTTTTACTTTATTAGCCAGCAGAAAACGTTTGTTTTTGTAATATTGTTAAAGCACTGTCGCTTATATAAAATTGGCCTATAAGATAAAATTGTAGAGCAAAAAAAACAAGTATTTTCCTTCTTGCTTTGCCTGTTTTGTCTATAAGGCCTACACTGTTGATAAAATGGCCCATGATAGCCCATGGGAAAGGCAAATAAAGAACTGAAATGTAGGCTATGTACACACACGAAAACACACTACATATCCCATCACTGCTTGGCTGTTGAACTGAAGGTGAAAGGTCACGTCGCCTCGATGAGGTAATAACAAACATGGCGGCGCTCGGTACAACACGGTGCTTATTCCGGAGCTACTCTCGGGTGAAAAATGTTCAAAAGAGCAAGCAAGTGTTGGTCAGATGTGGCGCCAGGACGCTTTGTAGTGGGACACAAGATAACGGTACGTTTTAAAGCAATGAATATTATTGCAGTGGAACTATTCTCTGGACTATAACGTTAACGCTGACCTTGTAACGTGTTTCAGTAGCCTCGATACTTTCTGTTCTATTGCAAAACTGCCCTAACACATCGGCCAGTTTAAGATTGTCTTACCTACTGGCAACGATATATACTCTTTAGAAGAATGTTTAATAAATATTACAACTCATTAGAATATTTCTATAAATTCGGCAATACGGTATTTAATGAAACATTAGCAGCTTTGTATTAAAATCGAATAGTAGTGGTTAAATAGCGCTAACTTAGGGGAATTTATTCATTTTAGCTGACGCTTTTATCCAAAGCGACTTACAATTGCTATATAATGTTATGTCAGAGCAACTAGGGGTTAAGTGTCTTGCTCAGGGACACTGTGGTGGATGGGTCACAGTGGGGAATTGAACCTGGGTCTCTCACACTAAAGGTATGTGTCTTATCCAATGCGCTGTCACCACGTTAGGTTAGGTTACACACAGTGTTAGCTTTACAATGGAATTATGAAAATTAAGTTTTAATCATGATGTGTTGCTTGGTGAACTGCATGTCTTATTAAAGATGGGAGCAATGTGAAGTAGCACTAGTGCTAAACTAGTGTACTTTCCTCCAGCCCTCTCAGACAGTGCAAAGCCCCAGTTCACAGATCCAGCTGTGCAGGACATCCTCACCAGGATAACAGGCCTGAACCTGCAGAAAGTGTTCCGACCCATTAAACAGGAACTGAAGCCGCCTGTGTATAAACTCATGACTGATGAGCAACTGGAGCAGGTGCCCTTTTAAATAAACCATAATAGCCCCTCTCAGTCACGCACACACATGTCACGGTAACACTTGTTTCATCCAGTGCCTTGTGTGTGTTTCCAGGCGACCATGTTAGCCACAGAGCAGGCTAAGAAGCTGCTGCAGATGCCCCCCGTCCTGCCAGAGAGGAAGCCCATCAACGATGTGCTGTCCGAGGACAAGATCCTGGATGGCATGGACACAGCCAAATATGTATTCACAGACATCACCTACAACATCCCTCACAGAGTAGGCACATGGTGCTTTATTTTGTGTGCTTATAGGCCATAGTTTTTTTGTTTCATGTACAATTTAATTGGTCTTATATTTCCAGAAGTTTTCAGTTTAGTTTGATGAAACTAATTTTGTACTTTGTTAATGGACGTAACTCCATATCCCAAATATCCCCATACTGAATACATGCTTTGTTTGTCCCCAGGAGAGGTTCATTGTTGTACGGGAGCCCAGCGGGACCCTTCGGAAGGCGACCTGGGAGGAGAGAGACCGGCTCATTCAGGTCTACTTCCCCAAGGATGGACGCAAGCTCACAGCGCCTCTCATTTTCAAGGAGGAGAACCTTAAGGTAGAAAATGGCAAAGTCTGATATCATTAGATGTTTTTCTTATCCCTGCCTGCAGCCTTCTGCAGCCCAGCTGAATTGTGGAGTTTGGGGCTGCTGTTCATTTATTTCAACACAGTATAACATCACACGCAGTCTTGTTTTTCAATAAATGACGTCTAACTTCACAATAACACACTCGCTCCTCCCCTGCTTGACGCCTCTCCTGTCCCTTCCCAAACCTGCCATATCGTTGTAGTCTCCCGAGTCAGAGCCCATGTCAGTCACCACGGTACTGTATTCCCTGTCATCAAACTAGCCTCCATCAGTCTCAGAGACTGTGTGCCCCACAATCACCCGCTGGGTCCCTCCCCAGAAACCGTCCTTATGGCGGTCCAATTTAGCTGTGCTAATGATAAACAAACAACAACACTCTCCCAGTCTGAGTAGAATCTGCTAATAAATCCGCTAACTCGCTAATGGCAGCTAGAGTTATTTGTTTTACCTTGTCTCCCCCATCTCTCTTTCTTTGTTCTACACATTTAGCTGCAGTCCATTTATTGTACGTGATGAATGTGTCAAGGCATGAATAGCAACCTTAATAATATTCTGGCTGAGTATATACTAATTGTCATATAGGTGCATCTCAGAAAATTAGAATATTTTGAAAAAGTTTTTCCCCATAATTTAATTCAAAAAGTGAAATATTTTAGGCTTTTGGAAGCTCATGGAAATCAAAAATCCACATTTCAAAATATTAGAATATTCAAATAAAAAATTTCGGCCTGAGAACAGCCTTTAATCTCTGTCTGGTTTACTCACACAATCATGGGGGGGACTTCTGTCTTGAAAGTTGTCCAGAAGACACCCATTGACAGCCTCCACAAAGAGGGTATGCCACAGAAGGTCATTGCTGAAAGGGCTGGCTGTTCACACAGTGTGCTGGATCAAAGCATTTTCATGGAAAGTTGACTGGAATGTTCTAGTGTGGCAGGAAAAGGTGCACAAGCAACAGGTATGACCGCAGCCTTGAGAGGATTGTCAAGCTAAGCCGATTCAAGAACTTGGGGTGAGCTTCACAAGTAGTGGACTGATGCTGGAGTCAGTTCATCAAGAGCCACCAGGCATTTGTCCAGGAACTACAAGCATTCCTAGTGTCAAGCCACTCCTGGACCAGAGACTACATCAAAGTTATGTTACATGGGCTAAGGAGAAAAAGAACTGGACAGTTGGTCAGTGGTTCAAAGTCATCATTTCAGATGAAAGACAATTTTGCATTTCATTTGGAAATCCAGGTCACTGAGTCTGGAGGACGAGTGGAGAGGGACAGAATCCAAGTTGCTTGAAGTCCAGTGTGAAGTTTCCACAGTCTGATGATTTGTGGTGCCATGTCCTCTGCTGGTGTCCACTGTCCATTTTATCAATCATTTTATCAAGTCCAGAGTCAATGCAGCGTCTACCAGAAGACTTTGGAGCACTTCATGCTTCATCTGCTGACAAGCTTTATGAAGATGCTGATTGCCTTCATGGATGCAGGGATTCTGCAAAAGGAGTACTGAGTGCACAAATTAACCATTTTCAGAACTTTTCAGAAGGTCGACATTTCTGTATTATACATTCTTTATTGTAATATTTTGATATGGATTTTTAATTTCCATTAGCTGTAAGCCGCCGCTTTTTGTAGCTATGAGCAGCTCCTGCTTGTCCTTTTGTGCATTGCCTTGTGGGACAAGTGTACATCAGCAGCACTCTTGTTTTTGAATGCACACTGATCTTGATTTGGGACACAGCTGTGTGTGCGTGCAGTGTGCACAGCAGACCTTTTGACATGCCATGGCAAGAGAAGCACAGGTGTAATTATTGTTAATCATAATTGCATTCTGTTTGTCAGTCAGTTGCTGGACCCTTGTATCGTACATGCCGCATCGCCGGTATTGATTATTGGGACACTAAATGGAACAGAGCCATCATTAACGTTATACACCCCATATTGTGTGCGTCTCTGAGGTCTAAACATGTTGAATGTATCTTCCTCAAAACATTTGCAAAGCTAAGTTGTAAAACTAATTTTAAAGCCTGTATTCTTTACATGTTTTTTACCTTGCAGTATTATTCTAGTACTCCATCTAGCATATTCAGGTTTCTCTGAACTGGACAAGAGCCTGTACAGGTTTCTCAAACCAGAATTGATGTTGGCAGAATACCCCCAAAACCTAATAATTACTAAAGTGCACTTAAATGCACTCAACGATGAAGCCGTCTTCCTTGACAAGGCAGTGAGGCGTGGATGTCACGCATGGTGTGTGAAAGCCAGTACAGTCCTGTAAAGAGGTCTAATCAGGCAAAATAAGTGAAAACACCTGTGCGGGTGTCCATTGAGCACCTAGAGGCTTTATTTTTACGTGTCTCTCCATTAGATGGTGTTTTCCCAGGACCGTCATGAGGATGTGTTGGACCTGTGTCTGGTTCAATTTGAACCAGACTCTTCAGAATACATCAGGGTAAGATGACATTGATTTTCCTGTTATTTTGACCCGATCACCAACTGAACTTAAATATGTAGACTGCAATAACCTGTTAAACCATGAAATGTCAGTGACAGTCAGTTTCTGTATTTTAGTTGCGTAACTTGATATTTAGTGTAAAATGAGAGTGTGGATTGGAAATTCATGGATTTAATTTTAAGAGAATTGTGCAGAGTGTCTAAAACATACAGTGAAGTTAGGATCATATCCATTCTGTGTGCCCCCGTGTTTAGGTACATGCAGCCACCTATGAGGACCTGGACAAGCATGGCAAATATGAACTGCTGCGCTCCACCAGGCATTTTGGAGGCATGGCCTGGTACCTGCTCAACGCTCGCAGGGTGGACGGGCTTATAGTGGACATGCTGAAGAGAGAGCTGTGAGTGTGTGTGTGTGTGTGTGTGAGATGAGTGCATGCCGATTTTAGGCTGCACCAGCAACTGTACCTGCTGGCAGAGAGCTGTGACCTAACCACCCAGTATGTGTGTTTCCAGGCTCCAGGATGCCGTGAGCGTAGTGTCTCTCTTCCACAAGGTCCACCCCCACAGTGAGTCAGCGCAGGAAGCTGCCACCCAGCAGGCCACGGGCACCGACCTGCTTAAGGTGAGAACTCAACCTTGACAGGAAATATCCGCTGACTTGTAGCTCAATTATACACTTGTTTTCACTTTGCTATGTGTATATTATGTATTGCCATGTGATCCAGCAATTGTCCAGGTCATATAAATTGTCAGGTCTCCAGTATTAGAGTAAATCAGAGTCAGTGTAGCTCTTGAGAGGTCAAGTCAAGGCCGTCTCATCTAAGGTTTCCCGTGTGAGAGGTTTGGGTTTGTCTCCAGCATGGGAACTGCGGGGCCAAGCCCAGGACACATCAGGTCTTATTAGCGCTCGCAGCTCCTCGGCCTTGAAGCAGTTGGGGAGGGACATTGAGAATGACAGCCATTTAATGTGAAAGGTTAGCGGCAGGAGACACGGGTGTGTGTCTGTCTGCTACAGTCACTGTCACACAAGGCCTTTCATTTAGTCATGCTTGATTGTGGAGCACATACATAGCTGTGTTTTATTAGTCTGCAGCTGAAACAAGTAATACTGCGATTGTTCTTTTACAAAATGCCCCCCACTCCTGAAAGTTTTTTTTATAATGGTAAGGTGACCTTTCCCTCCTCCATTTTGCTGACCTTTTGAACCATGTCCCTGCAGATCTACGCCCAGAAGGAGTCCCAGAGGTCAGGCTACATCGAGCTGGCCCTGCAGGCGTATGAACAGGCGGTTGCCCACTCCTAGATAGAAATATACAAATTCATCCACAATGAGGAAAGGTACCCATAACCAGAGGAACAGACTGAAAATGGCTTCCCATCGGGGGGGAAGGCCTGCTTTCGTTCACTGTTTGGGTCAAAGAGTAACACGTCCTCCTTGATCTAAATGAAAGATGTACACCTCACAACGACTGACTTGAAGAATTTGCTTTGAAACTCCTAAGATGCACAAAGTTTGTCATTTATCCATGTGGAGAAATTGTAGTCAAATGCTCTTATTGTCTATATGTGTATTTGATTTGGAACTCTGAGTCAAGCCTCATGTGTTGGGTAAAGTGATGTACATAATAAAGAGATTCGTACTTGTGTGACATGTTGGAGTAAAATAACTGGGTAACATGGAAAACTTTATTGATATGTGCTTATTAAAGTCAGACAGGTCCAGATATACCATCCATCATTTGAAAAAACAAATAAGTAAAACAAAAGCACAAGTAAGGCACCTGTAACCGAAACATACCGTTCATTTCATATTTCAGTGTACACGATAAAGCAAAAGCAGCAGTATGTGTTGATTGTAGCTCTGAGAAGGAATTACGTAGCAAACTATTAGGACATCAACACCGTAGAGGTAATAAAGACATTGCATATAACCAAATAGGGATCCAAAACATTTTTTAAAATGTACCATTTATAAAAAGCATGGCAGTCAAAACACAGGGAGCCTTGTCCCAGATAGAAATGAATACTGCTCTGATCCAGCAGGAATGTTCGAAAACAAATGGTTGAATTTCACTTCAATGAAAGCAATATTCAAACTTGGAAGAATTCCTCAGTGGCTTGGATCAACAGTGATGTTCTGCTGTATGAGGAAGAAGTACTGAGTAATTTTTTAATTTTTCGTGATGGTGCACATGCTGATAAAGCGTGTGGCTCGTAGAAATTCTACCCCTAAAATTTAGATTTTCACTGTAAACATGATACTAAAATTGCTGTGAAAGCCATCTTAATACAAAAGGTCATAATGGTTGCAGTACTATCTCTGTAGCACGTGCAGGGTAAAAAAACAGTCTGAGCTGGATTTATTCACTGGCTGCAATGTATCCCGTATTTCCAAAAGAGAATTACTGTAGGACAATTTTAATCCTACAGTAACATATATTTATACACATTTAGTCTAGCTTGTAGTTGTCTCGGAAAAAAGCCCTTATGTTCTTTGGTCACTGAAAAAAAGATTGGCTCGTGAAAGATTTGTCTTCCTATTCATTCACTCAAGAAATCCTCATCCAGGTTGATATCTGTGGTGTCGATATCTTCCATGTCAAAATTGTCCAGATCCAGATCATCTAGGACCTACAGGTGGAAAACAAAAGGCCTCACATTAAAGGAAACAAGAAGCTTATGGCTTCATACAACACAATCTTATTACACATTAAATCTGATGCCATCTTATGGGTAAATATTTGCTATAGGATTAAAAACTGAGGTGTACCTCGTCATTCATCTCTGCCTCAAGGTCCTCTGCTGGTTCCACAGCTTCCTCAGGACCTGCCTCCTCCTCCGCTATGTTCCCCACTGCGAGAGCTGCAACCGGGGCTAAAACTACTAGCTCAGCCTGTAGAGCCACAGCTGGCTCCAGGTTGTCCTCAGGCTTTACTGGGATTGCTGTGGTTTGGTCCTCTTGTTCTGGTTCTTGTGCTGCGACTGGCTTCAGTAATGGCATTGTATCTTCCAGTGGGTCTAGCAGTGGATCAAGGGCCAGATCTGGAAAAGTCTTGACTTGGACAGGCGCACTGAACAGTGGACTGGCCGTGTTTTCAAAGGAGATGAGCTCCTCCACTGCAACAGGTAATGGTGCTGCAACATCATTCTCCTCTGCTGCTGTATCTATGATGGCAGGTGCTTCTGAGGAGATAATACTTGTTTCCAGTTCTTTATAAACAGGCATTTCCCCAGTTGCTATAGCTTCTATTAAATCAGTATCAACTATCAGACCAGTGCTAACTAGGACATCCTCTGTTGTTATCGTGTTTGTTGCCACTGTCTCACTGATGGTTAGAGAGGTTTCAGAAACACAGGCAGCAGGTACACCGTCAGTTGCTGGAGAATTGTCCCAGACTTCGGTCTCAGCTGATGATCCGACATCTTCCAAGGGACTGAATTGTAGCTCTGGCTCTTTGGGGGTGATCTCTGTGGTGGACTCCAAAAAGTCTGAGACTGAAGGCTCCTCGGATTTAGTGATGGTGTCCTCCTCAGAAGACACAGATTCTGCTTGTTTTGGTTCAACATACTCTTCTGTCACTGCGACACGCAGCGGGGATGCTGCTGTTGGGGTGGATTCTTCTTCTGTTATTGAAACAGGATCTATGATCTGTTTTACTGGAATGGGTTCCTCCACTACTGCTGCTTCTGCAAGTGTCACTGCTGCTACCATGGCAGTTTTATTCAGGCTCTTCACCACTTCCTATATATAAAATAAGCAGAATTACAATTCTGTTTTAAAAAAGGTTCACATTTTTTCAAGTGTATCTTCATCCAATACCCATTTTTGAACATATGACTTTTATTTTCATGTGAAATAACAGTCCTGCATTCAAAATCTTGCATAAGTAAATGTTGCTTTAAGTATCAAAAGAAAAAGTGACTCATGTTATTACACAGGATTTTTAATACTGATACACCAATGTGTACGCAGCCTTTTACTGTTGTAGCTGCTCGAGGTGGAGCTAGCTTTTAAGACAATAAGTGATGATTAAGTGTGTACTTTTTCAACTTCTCTAATGGTTGCTTTGTTTATTAAATATTGGATAATTTACCATCTTTAGGAAAGCTTAAAAAAAGTTATTTAAATGAAACCATATGAGAAGTTGACAGTGCTTCTTATTTTTTATTTTATAAGAGGTCACGAGGCACAAAGGTTGGGTACAACTGGTCTCATCTTCAACAGTAAGTTGCATTTTACACGTTTGTGACATGTTTTTATGTAAAATCTTAATCTGAGTGGAGTAGAAGTATAAAATAGCACAAAATGGAAAAACTTCTAGAATTGAAGTACTGCGCTCTGTGCAAACATTCATTGTTAAGTTCAGCAGTTCGATTTCAAATCAAGGTGGGAGTCGTTATTTATAATATTTCTTTGGTGAGTAATGACTGAATAATTGTAATGCAAAGAGTGATTTTTGTACTGAAAAGACTGTATCTACCTGTTGATACCCATTTGATACACACTGTAACCTTTACAGTAACTCAGCGAGGACAGTGTATTTTGTCTCCCATCTTTCTACACTGAAATCATATCAGAAAGAGACCTCTTTAAAGTCAGTATGGACTGCAGGAATAATATCCATGACCAAGAATTATTTTGGGCATGTGAATATTGTCTTGTGACAGACTTGAAAAAAATATGAAGTTGTCCTTTAAGTGATTTTTTCCCCAGCTACTATCGAAGGCAGAAGAAAATCTTCCAATTGCTGTTTTGCATTCAGCAACAATTAAAGGAGCGACATCTTGATATGACAGTCGTGTAGAGGTGCAGGTTCTGGTCCTCACCTCTGGCTCAGTGATCTCTTCATTAGCCTCAAAACCTGCAGATTCCTCCAGAACATTACGGTCCTCATTTGGCTGAAAATAGGGAGACAGGATAATGATAAATTAGCAATGCAATCATCCAAATTCAGCAACTGACTAAAATAGTGGAAGTTACTCAGCATTTAACATAATAAAGTGATAAAATAATTCCTCCATTTATTTATTAAAGTTTTCAAGTATAGTTGCTCTGACTTCCACTGACCGTGATGAGTGGGTATTCTGCAGCCGGCCTGACCCTGACATGAGTCTCCTTCAGGTACTGCTCAGCCAGCAGGGCTTCCTGGAGGCCAGGGAACAGGTTGCTGTACTGGCTGGGGTCAGCCAGAGCATCTGCTGCCTTCTGGTTGACTTTGGACAAACTCTCCTTCCACAGCTTTACCACCCTGGGGGAAGGGAAGCATATACAGCTCACCAGTGATGCATAATGTAAATATACACAAACACTGATATTACCATTATAAAAAAAACTAGCAGGAGTAGCAACATTTTTTCATGGGCTTTGATTTGGACTATGTCAATTTGCCGTCCTCTAGGAAACAATAATAGGTATTTCTTACAAATTAAAGGGTAAACTGGTACATGCAAAGGTTCTGCAGGACATGCAACAACAACTCAGGCATATTCTATGCTGTGCACTCAATGGAAACAACTTTACCTTGACACATGGCTGGGCAGATATGTTCTTGCCAGAAATGCAGCCTCTGGCAACCGATCTGTTTTGATGAGAAGGTCCAGACACTTGTCCAATCTGAACACAATGAGAGAATTATAAAAAAATATATAAACAAGTTGACTGAAATTTGGATTCAAACATTGCACCCCCCCCTCCTCATCTTCCACTCACCTTCCCTGCATGAAATAGGTGAGAAAGGCCACGTTTGTCTTCCCATCCCTCTCTGCCCCCTCGGCCAATTTGCCCACCATGTCGGTGTTGCCCGAGGAGGTGGCCAAGAGCAATAATCCCCCATAATCCTGAGCTTGGTGCAGACACTCCTGAGCCAGGCTAAACTGGCACTTTGTAGTAGCGAGCTCTGCCAGCTGCTTCCATTTCTGCACTGACTACAGCAACCCACGTGCCAAGGTGCAAAAGAGACAGGCGAGAGGATTATCACAGGAGGAAAAGCATTAGCCACAATAACACACTGTGAGGCACTTACTAAGCATGGGAGGCCAGGGCTGTGACTCACAATAATAATCGACTTCTTATGATTAGATGTGAAGCACAAATGACAAATGTGTGAGTTTTGTAGTCAACTAAGCTGTTAAGTAATACACATAATATACTAAATGTTAGCTTAAACATGTTGAGGCATATAAAATCTCCAGACTGACATTATTTAATGTTGCAACAACAGTAAACCATATCAGCATATTCACCTCCTAGACATTTATAATTGTATAGTTTTAAGCCATGCAAGCATGGCTATAGGGGCGGTACTATCGATCTGTCTGTCAGTCCACCACTTTGGTTCACAGGCCTCAGCTGTACTTTGTGTTTAGTGCTAATAAGCAAATGTTAGCATGCTAACACGCTTAACTATTGCGAACATGCAAAACATTATACCTACTTAAAATCAGCGTGTTAGCACTGTAACTGTGAGCATTTTAACATGGAGACGTTAGCATTTAGCTCAAAGCACTCTTCTTACATACAGCCTCACAGAGCCGACATGACAATGACATGGAGAAGTTGCTTACAGCTGGAAAAAAATTAAAGGTGGTTGTGAACCAGCTCCCAAAAAAACAAAAATAGGTAACATTTTATTAGCAGTAGCTTTCCAAA